CTGGCCAGGAGGGATTTTTATAGTACTGTACACAGGACAGCTATTACCCTTCCCTTTATAGTTATGACAGGGACAATAGAACTTAATGGGTAAAGAACATTCTGAAGAATCTAAGTCTTTATCTTAAAAACTATGGCATTTCTGTCCCTTCCAATAGCTAAATAACTTACATGCTGTAAATCAATGTACTGCTATCTTGTTGGCTGAAGCAAGTCAGAAACAAAAGTACCAACAGATGCAAATTTATCCTTGCCATCTTAATTCCATATTCCCCAAGTGACCAGCATTTGAAAATGGAAACCTGTCAATCCTGGGGAAGCACACTAAATCCAGCAAATAGGTCAGCAAGTTCCAGTCACTTAACATATACACTGAGCCGGATCTGTTCTTGCTGCTCTGCTCAGCTGTTTGATGGCTTCTCAGCCAGCTGGCTGGCATAGGGGAATAATGGATCAATTGGGTCCACAGCAGAAAGGCAGGAGGAGAGCCAGCCTCCCTCCTCCTCCCCACAATATGGAAGTGAAGGAGGACTAGTTCAAGCAAAAGGATGCACTGACAAACATCAAGAGTATCAGGATACTTTAATAGGGTAAACTGGGGAGGCTCTGCAGATATTCAGCTGGTAAGCAGGTGGCACAAAAACAGAAAGAGAAGGAGAAGGAAAGATTGTGAAAGTCCTGGGCTCCATAGATAAGCCCAGGTGATGAGAAGGAGAGAGACAGACATATGATTTAAAGGGAGAGGAATGTCAATGACCAGGAACAAGAAACTTGGAGCTATCAGAGGAGCATATGCAAGTGAAAATCCCTTACACAACAAAATTCTAGAACAGGTTCACCAGGGCCGGCTCCAGGGCTTTGGCCGCCCCAAACAGACCAAAAAAAAAAAAAAAGCCGCGATCGTGATCTGCAGCGGCAATTTGGCGGAAGGTCCTTCGCTCTGAGCAAGGGACTGTCCGCCGAATTGCCGCCGAATAGCTGGACGTGCCGCCCCTCTTCCGAGCTGCCGCCCCAAGCACCTGCTTGCCAAGCTGGTGCCTGGAGCCGGCCCTGAGGTTCACCAAAGTAGTATACATTACAATAATAATAAATATGCCGTTTGTATACCTAGGCAGAAATATAAACTGTACAGTTCATGGATTCAGAAATCCACACATCACTCACTAAAAAGGATTCTGAAGGAAAACTCAGAATGTGAGGAAGAACACACAGCAGACTCCAAAGAATACACAAGATATTCATGGAACACTACATTTGACATCATCATCATCATCTCTAAAAACTTACTATTGCTGACTTTCAGTTTAATAATTTCTATCTCTTTCATTAGCCACACAGCAATCTGTTCTCCAACAAAGAAGAGACCCATGATCGCCCAATGGAATGACTTCAGATTTACACAGGTGAAGATGAGTGAAAAATTTGACCATCTGTGTGCAACAGACTTTCATAATTTACCTGCAGTAATTTGCCGGTGCAACTGATGTCCTGTGCACATCCTCGCAACTGAGTGACACCATAAATCAAAGTACTTAGTAAATGCCATCATTTGCACATATAAAAGATTGCAGTACAAAACTGTCCATACTGGACCAAAAAGTAGCTCCAGGCTTTGAAAATATGGGCTTGTAAGTCTGGACATGTAATAACAAAAACAGGCAAAAATAATTGGGAAAACTGATGTGATACAATCAAGATAGCCTCCATAGTTATTATGTTCCATAGTCCAGGTGGAACCCAAAAGTCTTGTTAATTCATATGTGCAGATTAATACCTCCTATGCTCAAGTCACAAATTCAGTAATGAGTAAAGCTAATATTAATTAGAGGTGTTCTAGGACAATTCTGTTTCATGGAAACTTTTGAGATTTCAAAATTTGTTTTCATTCCTCATCAAAAGCAAACCAAAACCTTTAGAATGTTTTTACTAAAATGGAATAATGTGAAAATATCAATTTTCTAACTGAAACTTGAGCTTTTTGATTCAGAACGAGTGGATCTGTGTGTGGGTAGCCTGTGTGTGGGTAGCCTGGTCGCTAAGGTCCTGGCCTGGGATGTGGGAGTAGGGTGACCAGATGAGGGGAAGAATGTATCGGGACACAAGCGGGGGGTGGCCTGCTGGCGGAGCAAAAAAAAAAAGCTGAGTCCTGCCAGCTGAGCAAAAAAGATAAGGGTACCAGGTCTATCTCGGCCACAAAGGAGTGATCAGAATGACCTGTACTTCGTCTCTTTTTATTTCCAGGAGGACCTTTGATAGCAGGGGGGAAGGAAGGGAAAGGTATAAAGAAGGTCCCCTTCCCAAGGGAGGAGGAGAGCATCACCTAGGGAGTGTTGTCCTATTCCTGGGCTGGAACATTTCTTGTTCAGGGAAGTGGTGAACAAATCTGTGGTTGGTGTCCTCCACTGCCTGAATAGATTGTGAAGTACTACTGGGTCTAGGTCCCATTTGTGGTCATGTGGGAATTTGCGTCTGAGACTCTGCCACTGAGTTCTGTGTACCTGGGAGGTAGGCTGCCAACAGTGTGATGTTGTTGGGAAATACACCAGTTCCATAGTCTCATCACCTCCACACAGAGGGAAGCAGACCGGGCTCCCCCTTGTCAATTTATGTAGAACATACAGGCAACGTTGTCAGTTAGGACTTTTGTGTATGGCCCTTTGATCAGCAGAAGGAAGTAGGCACAGGCAGTCCTGACTGGCCTTAGCTCGAGGAGGTTGATGTAAAGGGATCTCTCTACAGGTGACCATTTTCCTTGTGTCATAAGGTCGTTTAGATGTGGGCCCCACCCTATGAACGATGTGTCGATGGTGAGAAGCAATGAAGGAGGTTTTTGCATGAAGGGGATGTTGGCTCGATCTGTTCACCAGTCTAGGGTGATTTTGACCCTGGTGGGTAGTCACAGAGGTTTGTGTAGTCTGTCTCTATTTGGTCTGTAAAAAGAGCTGAACCACATCTGAAGGCACCGCATATGAAATCTGGTGTGTGGTATTAGCACTGTGTCCGCTGCCATACGCCCCAAAGTTATAGGCAGTGTCTGGCTAATATTTGTGGGCTGTTTTGAACAGTCTCTGTGAGTGTAGTCAGAGAGAGATCTGTGCTGAGGTCGGAGGGCTCTGGCCTGTAGAGTGTCGAGGTCTGTGCCTATAAGCTCCAGGTGCTACACTGGAGTGAAGGTTGATTTCTGGGGTTTGTTCTACAGGCCCAGCTCTGGCTTTGGTGACTCAGTGAGCCTCCTGGAGAGACCAAGCTCTGAGGAGGCAATTGTCCAGGTCTGGGTAGATCATGATCCTTTGGGAGCATAAGTGGGCAGCCACCACTGAGAGAACCTTGGAAAATACTCTCGGAGCAGATGATAAGTCAAAGGGGAGCACCCCATACTGGTAGTGGTCTTGTCCCAGAGTGAATCTGAGAAATTGTCTGAGAGTCAATAGGATTGAGATGTGAAAATACACATCCTGAAGGTCGAGGGCTGAAAACCAGTCTCCTTGTTCCAGCACTGGAATGATCGTTGCTAAAGTGATCATGTTGAATTTCTGAGCTTTGACAAACTTGTTGAGAGCTATCAAAGGGGTAGCCGTGTTAGTCTGGATCTGTAAAAGCAGCAAAGAGTCCTGTGGCACCTTATAGACTAACAGACATATTGGAGCATGAGCTTTCGTGGGTGAATACCCACTTCTTCGGATGCATGTCATGCATGCATCTCATGCATCCGAAG